ACTTTTCTCCAATATAAGAATATAAATTATCATAATACGATTCTCATCGAGTAATGTCTTTAGAGCATCCACAATCATGCTCTCTATATTTTAATTAAATTTTAGCTAAAAACATATAAAAGTTATTTTAGGAGCTCTCTATAAAATGTAAACTCCAATCATAATCTCTAGTTTAGGGAATCATAAATGCTATAACTCTTTTTTAATTGGTCAATCTATATTAAAAAATAATATAAAAAATAATAAATATTAATTAAAGGTTTGAAATACTCATTAAATAAAACAACATTAAATTATAAGGAGTCACTAAGAGTCATTTCTCCCTTGTCAGATTTAGGAGCTCCTAGAGGTCTCCATATTTTAGGAGGTGGATAAGGAGCATGGTTGGAGATGTATTTTTCCAAATCCTCCCTAAATTTTGTCTAAGAATGTGGTTTAGGGAGCTTATTGTAGATGCTATAATTTTCATAAAATGTTATTATGAAAACCGAGAAAACGAATTAATTTCCCAATTGATTGATGTATCTTTCCTTTTTCTTCAAAACACCTACCTACTCTACCACTATATAGACCGTAGTCTATTGTCTATTTTAACAGTATGGGTCATTTTAAGGTCCCATTAGTGAGATGGGGCCATGGACTTGCCTATCTTTCAATTTGCTAATGGCATGTGCTAATTTGTAAAGCTGCATTTTATTTTGATGCATCCATTCACGTGGGCCTCCGCAAGACTGTATTAACTTCTTGATTAGCCATAATTCTGCAATTTTACTTTTTTGTCAAGCATGGTACAGGGGAAATATTAGTAAGATCAAATATTATTGCTCCATAAAGTGGTATTTTCTCACTGCAATTTTAATTATATATATATAATTAATTACCTGTACATGAGGAAAGAAGAACAAAAATCGTTCTAATCCCAAATCTTTTAGGTAAGCAGAATCCAGTTCTAGTAGTTGAGCACAAGCTAGGCTAAGACAGACATACAATCGAATATCAATCAGTGCAAAAGTGCAAAGCAAATAACATTACAGATTACTAAACTAATTAATTAACATTTTAGGTAAGCATAATCCAATTCTAGTAGCTGATCATAACTAGGCCTGTAATTCGGCCGGAACGGATCGGAAACTAGTGTTCCGAATTCCAATCCGAAAATTTTCGGAATTCAATATAACTTCCAATTCCAATCCGAAAAAATTCGGAATTTCAAATCTTATTCGGATTCCAAAATTTCGGATATATCGGAAAAATCGGAACTTTTCGGACTACACTTGTAATCTGAATCCGCTCTAGCTTTGGCTGTGGCGTTTTAATGGAATTCCAGTTTCATACCAGGAAAAAAAAACTACTCCAAATTTAAGCCTTAATGATTGAAAACACCCAAAAGTCGTTTTCTATATTTTCAGGATCTGTGTTTTCAGGCGAGCACCACACCCACCACCCAATTGAACCACCACGTCAAACCCAATTGAACCAACACTGTCAAACCAAATAGAACCTCCACATTAAACACAATCGAACCCAATTGAAGGGCTTGACGATCTGCGACTTTGAAGGGCAAAATAGAGAAAGATCGGGAGGGAGAGAGAGCCAGGGATAGAGAATAGAGAGAGAAAGAGTGAGAACCAGAGAACTTGGGAGGAAGATAGAAAAACGGAGAGAAAAACAGAGGTGATTTGGGTGAGTTTTGGAGACACAGGAAAAGAGAAGGTGGGGGGGACGTAAGAAGAAAGAAGACATAAACAAATATAAGAAGATAAACGGAAATATTAGTATAGTAGATACTAGATAGCACCATTACTTATAATTATATGTATATTTAATTTATATAGGGAGAGATAGTTTCTGTTTGATATAATTAAATGCATGTTTAATCTTGGTTTGTATAAATGTAACTTGGGAAATCTTTTATGTTTATGTATACATATACATTGTAATAAAAAATAGATATACATGTACATCTAAAACCAAATGAAAGTATTTCACGTGGTATTAGCTAATGAAAATTTAATGGAAAAATAATTTAGTCTTGCTCTAGATAAGCACACATATACTCCTATCATGATTCATAGGTAACAAGCACACATATGCATTTTTGTTATATAGTATAGTCAAAAATACATAATCTTAGAGTGATATGTATGCACATATATGTATATATAATAAACCTTTAGTATATATTGGCATGTGTATAATTCTGATATATACATGTATGTGTGTTTTATATATAACATACATTATAACAAAAAATAGATACACATATAATACTTAAGTATACATGCATTTTTGTTATATAGTATGTTTGGATATGATAACCACACATACGAATTTTTGTAATATTCAACCAAAAATGTTAGCCAAAAATATAGTCTTAAAGTAATATATACTCATATGTTTAGTATACATGTATATATGAATATTTGTATTTTGAAGGGCACTTAAATATAACAAATAAGAAATGAAACATATATAGGACCTATAAACTAAAAACAATGCAATTAAACTTATAAATCATAAAATATTATTATAAATTCGGAAAATTTCGGAAAATTTCGGAAACAATCGGAAAAATCGGATCGGAAAGGGTTCGGAGAACTTCGGAAATTTTCGGATCGGAATTTTGGAATTTTCGGAATTTACAAATACATTCCGATTCTGATCCAAATTTTATCGGAAATTTCGGATTTCGGCACTTTCGGATATCGGATGTATCGGAGTCGGATTGTTTTGGAAATTTTCGGACCGGAATCAGATTTTCCAATCCAATTTACGGCCCTAATCATAACATATCATCAATTCATACCAAATTTCAGGGATTTACAGTGGTTTGATTTTGATGACCTTTAGATATCCTATCAAGGAGAGAATTATTTGGAGTAACCTTTCATGAAGAAACCATATTGATTTGAGGAGGAATCATAAATCCAGATACAAACAATAGATCCAAACCCAGCCGAGCACGAACCATTTATTGGAATTGACTGAGATAATCTCTTTGTATTATTTGAATCTGGATGTGTGTGAACCAAAAAAACAAGTATTAAAAAAATAATAATAATAAAAAATAAAAAGGCTCACTACTTTGCTCCTTACTTGGAAGGAGATATTTTTACAAATCAAAATTTGACACATATGTAAAAATAATTCTTCAAAAACATAAAAAGAAGAATCTCAACACACATGTCAAACTGTGATTAGTAGGACTGTAGAAGTTCCTACTTCCGAGAGAAAGAGGCAAGTATTTTTCAAAAAAATAATAATAAATGGATTGGAAACCAAGTTTCAATCAATTTGGATATAGTACACGGTAGACCAAAACTCAAACGAGTACAAAAAAATTATCTAATAATTGGGATTGGGATAATTTATTTGTGTTGGTTGAGTCTGGATCTGGATCTATTTTGATTGACTGAAAGTTGGGTTCCAACCCTCCATTATTTTTCTTCCATTGGTTCCACTTCCTTCGTATCACTCTCTATTTTGTAACATTTGCACAATATTTTTCTCCGAACATTTCTGCATAGTATTTTAAATCATAACATTTGCAGAAAGCAATTAGATTTCTTTCTTTTCTGTTCTCCACCATCTCATTCTCATAGTTTTGCAGCCTTATGCAAATCCTGTCAAACTATCTTAAACATTTTCTTATCAAAGTAATAAAATATTTTTATATCCATGTATACATTATAATCAGACAGAGACATGCGAACTAAAGCCTAACCAAGCTCATCCATTAGTATCAGACCCAGAAAAAAGCTCATCCATTAGTCCCCAACTCAATCAACTTCCTATTCAGACCCAATAATTAAGAAAAAAGAAAAAATGATTATTTGATTTGGATACTCTTCAACGTCCATCTTGCTTTCATCTATATATCAAGTCAATCAATACAGTGTGATCCAAACTAATCGAGAATTCTAAAATTTATTCAATTACTTGAGTCAAGTCAATACCCACCCACTTAACCGTATTGTGGAAATTAGAGTCTAACTTTTAATTTCTAGTAGGGGCAGATGATTCGTGGTCTTTTTTATGTCATGACTCATGTCTATCTTTTAAAAATATATGGCTCTATTTTGACTCTATGGATCATCTTTTGCAATACCCCACACTCGTTCACTTTTGAAATATCTGCTTTTGGTAAAAGTTGGAAAAATCACACACATTTCATGGCACGTTAAAAGAAATCCAAATTTTCAAAGATGTGCTTTTTGTGGAATTAAACAATCCAAGCTTCCAAGGTCAAGCTAATACTTACACTATTAAGAAATTGGATACGAAGGAAAAAAATTATGAAACATAGCCATGAAAATTATAAGTCACCACGTAAAGTTTGCTCAAGAAATATACAAGTCATCGTGGAAAGTTTGGTTAAGAAATATCAAAAGTTAAGGGGGCACTTTTCCTTCATTTCTTGTCAAGTACAAATCTTATATAAACAGTTCAAAAACTAAACTGCACAAATACAGTATTAACCATAATTAATTGTATTGTTGATATTTATTCTCACTAAATAAGTCAAGTCAGCATTGCAAGAAGGATACAATTATAGCTTGTGCCTTGGATTTGATCATGGGAGACAAATTACAAACATGACCCACCACAGGATGCAGTTGTATGAAACCATCTCAAGTCAAGTCCATACCTACAATAATTTGTCCTGATTTTTGGCGTGGAACTCGGGATTCTCAAGTCTTATGTGGAGCCACACACACGCATTCATTCTTCCAACCAAATTCCAATACCAAATTTCCACAAGTCTTACCAAATACCAAATTTCCCCAATTCATTGAAATACATGTTCAGACTAGAAGAAAAAGAAAGGCTACTAATTAACTTTAATCCCAAAAAACCACTGGAGGATTAGAAATCATTTTCATAAAGACTTTCTTTTTCCCCCTATATATATGGAGAAGCACGGAGACAACCATATATCAATAATTAAATCCTAAACAATTGTGCCTCTTCTCTTCATTGGATCGTGTTCATCTATTAACATGCAAGGCCACGGAAGGTGCTTCAAACTCTTTCTTGCATTTTCTCTGCTTTTGCTACAATACGCCCAAGGAGGAGAGGTGGACCACAGTCAGAGGGATACTAACGTGACCGGGAGGTGCATAGAGAAGGAAAGGCAAGCACTCCTTGCATTCAAACGTGGCCTGGTGGATGAGTCCGATTTCCTCTCTTCATGGGGTTCAGAAGCACAAAAACAAGATTGTTGCAGATGGGTGGGAGTCTCTTGCAGCAACCAAACTGGCCATGTTCTTCATCTTGATCTTTCATACGCAGTTGGAGGCGAAATTTACAAATTTCAAGGTAAGATGATTAGTCCTAAACTGATTGAGTTGCACCATTTACAACATTTGGCCCTTTCTTCGATTGATTTCGATGGGAGCCAATTTCCATATTTCATTGGTTCTCTAACCAATTTAAGATACCTTGATCTGTCTTGGACTAATTTTGGGAGCCAGTTTCCAAGTCAGGTCGGAAATCTTACGAACTTGGTGCATCTGGACTTAAGGGGTAATTGGTTTACAAGTCAGGTAGAAAATCTCAACTGGCTTCCTCTTCTTTCGTCGTTAAGATATTTGGACTTGAGTTTTGCGAATCTCAGCAATGTTTTCGATTGGCCGGAAACCGTTAATAAGCTTCCTGAACTAACAAACTTGACACTAGATGGATGTGATCTTCCTCCACCAATTCTTTCCACTCTTTCTTACATAAACTCTTCTAAATCTCTTGCTAGCGTTGACCTTTCTTCCAACCGTTTGAATACGTCTTCAATATTCGTATGGTTGTCCAACTATAATACCAGCCTTGTTCATCTTGACCTCTCTTTTAACCAATTAGCTGGTTCAATTCCTGATGTTTTTGGAAACATGAGCTCTCTGGCACATCTTGATCTATATTCTAACCAACTTGAAGGAGGGGACCCGCATTCTTTTGCCAGGTTATGTAGTTTGCAATATTTGGATCTCTCAAGCAATACTCTGAGTGGACAACTTTCTAAGTTCGGTCAAATATTATTTTCTACATGTGCTCAAAACTCATTGGAGGAGTTGTATCTCTCTGAGAATGATCTTGCAGGGTCATTACCTGAAAGTATAGGGCTAATGTCGAAGCTCCAAACTATTGATTTTAGCATGAATTCTTTGGAAGGAGTGATTTCAGAAACTCATTTCTCAGAACTCTCCAAATTACAGAGTTTGGATTTATCTTCTAACTCGCTAGTTTTAGACATCCATGCTGATTGGATTCCTCCTTTCCAATTGGACTTCATAAATTTGGGGTCTTGCAAGATGGGTCCGGATTTCCCAAAGTGGCTTCAAACTCAAAAAAAAATCAATTACCTTGATATTTCTGATGCTGGAATTTCCGACAACCTTCCAAGTTGGTTTTGGAGTTTATGTCGTAATGTGGAATTTATGAATCTCACAAGCAACCAAATTAGAGGTACATTTGCAAATTTGACATTGGAATTTTCATATTTCCCTGAACTATATCTGAGTTCGAACAAGTTGGAAGGTCCAATCCCCTCATTTCTATCAAAAGCCTCATTTCTAGATCTGAGTTCAAACAAGTTGGAAGGTCCAATCCCCTCAGTTCTATCAAAAGTCTCATATCTGGATCTGAGTTCAAACAAGTTGGAAGGTCCAATCCCCTCAGTTCTATCAAACGCCTCATATCTGGATCTCTCTTATAATAAACTTTCAGGGTCAATTTCGTTCTTGTGTTCAAGTGCAGCTATTGGTTTAAGCTTTCTTGATCTCTCAAACAACAATGTTTCTGGACAAGTTCCAAATTGCTTGACACACTTGGAGAATCTAGTCATTCTTGATTTGAGTTACAATGCTTTGTCCGGGAAAATTCCTACAACAATAGGCTCTGTATTTCGGATTGAAACACTCAAATTAAGAAGCAATAGATTTGTGGGACAATTGCCTTCGTCGTTGAAGAATTGCACAAGTTTAGTAGTAATTGATGTTGGGGATAATAAATTATCCGGACCAATACCTGAATGGTTAGGGGTTAGCTTAAAGAAATTGGTTATCCTGATGCTTTTGTCTAATCACTTAAATGGAAGCCTGCCCTCACAATTATGCCATCTAACACACATTCAAATTTTAGATTTCTCCATGAACATCATCTCTGGAAGTATACCCAAATGCCTCACCAATTTGATTGCTCTGGCTCAGAAAGAAGATTCAAATTTCAACATCTCACATTCTTATGAAATTTCTATTGGTCAACGCGAATTTAGAAATGGTGACTATGAGGATGATGCAACATTCATATGGAAAGGAGGAATGCAAACATACAAAAGAACTTTGGGGCTCATGAAGAGAATTGATCTGTCAAGCAATAAATTAACAGGGGAGATACCAAGTGAAATCACTCATCTTGTTGGGTTGGTTTCTTTAAACCTATCAAGAAACCAATTAACAGGTCAAATAACTCAAGAGATCGGAAACTTGCAGTTATTGGATTCTCTTGATTTGTCAAGAAACCATATAGACGGAAGAATTCCAACAAGCCTTGCATGGATAGATCGTCTTGGTGTCTTGGACTTGTCATATAACAACTTGTCTGGCAAAATTCCAGTCGGGACTCAGCTCCAAGGCTTTGATCCCTCTGTTTATGCTGGGAATCTTCAACTTTGTGGGCCTCCACTTAAAAAGATGTGTGCTGATGAAGTGGAAAGAGGTCCAAGTGAGCAAACTGACTTCATCAACCAAGAGGACAAGGATGGGCTAATAACACTAGGATTCTACATTAGTATGGGGCTTGGATTTGCTGTTGGATTTTGGGGAGTTTGTGGCACCTTGATATTTTCAAAGTCATGGAGATACGCATACTTGAAGTTCTTGAATGGTTTAAATGATTGGCTTTTTGTGAGGATAGCTTTGTTGAAGCGGCAATTGAAGGATGCTTAATTAAAAAGATCAGCGGTGAGTAATCTCTCTTTCTCTCTCATAGTTTATTATTACTTTATTGACTTAATCAACATGCACGATTAATTTGGTTTTTCTAATTTGTTACTTTATTGGTTTTTCTAATTTGTTATATTCATGCTGTAACTCAGCGAGCTGGGAGGAGGATGTGCAATGAGGTTTGGGCTTCCTGCCCCCCATCCTCTCTGGTCTTTGTGTTACAAGCTGACGGCCTTCCTTGCCCCTAGGTGCTAGTGAGTCTGTGCTGGATGCTGACGAGCTCCCCTTATGGAGGCATCATAGTTATTGGTCTCTAGTTTGATCTTTTTCTAGTTTTTGTGCTTCCTGTTGTCGTTTTTCCTTTCCAACTGCCTTTGGTTTCTTTCTATTTTATCCTCCTATTGTCTTTCTTTCGTTGAATGAAAGTACTTTGACCCCAAAAAAAAAACGTGTTTTTGTTTTTTTGTTGTTGCATTTAATCTTCAGTCAAATGGCTCTGTAATGGTAGTTGTATTATAGTAGCAGAATATGGGTTTTTATAGCCGGAGAGCATGAGAAATGCATGCCAACAATTAATAATAAAATCCATCATACGGGTAATTATATTCAAGGTTAACGACATTTTAACCTAAGGTTTGGTGTTATTCACATTCCTATCATCCTTCCTTTTATATACTATCAAATTTCCTACATTCTTTTCATCTTTCCTTTCACATACCGACACGTGGATGTCACAAATGCTATCCGAAAATACTAGGGTCTAAGTAGTACTTTAATTGAATTAACCAATATATTTAAAGAATAGACTAAAAATTAATAAAATATTAAGAGAGCTATGATTTATGGAGACGGTAAAACTATAATCCAACTCAATTTTTTTTATTAAAAAAACTATAAATTGTGGATTAAATTTTATGGGTGGGCTATGTTTAGCCCTCAACTACTAGAGATGGCCTAAATATAATTTTGTGCTCTAGAATCACTTTCTATTTATTTATTAAAATTTATAACAAAAAAGGTATCTACGATGTAAAGTATGAATAAGCACTGACATGAAAAACATGTCAGTTGGAAACTTGTTTCTCTTTTTAAGAGAGAGAATTTGGGTAATGTTTTGGGATTGAATCTAGCTCGACCAGTAATAACATCAATCTCATTGATTAGATGATGGGCCGGTCTTTAAATTTGGGCTCTGGAATTTTGGCCCGAATTCAAATCTGGGCTATTAATACAGACCCAAACAATTGGATTTGGACTTAGGAGCCCAAATTCAAATTCACTCCTACCCAAACAAACGGCCCACCACAGGAAACATGACCTCTCTAGCACATCTTGATCTCTCTTATAACCAACTTGAATGAGGGGACCCGCATTCTTTTGCCAAGTTATGTAGTTTGCAATATTTGGATCTCTTAAGCAATAATCTGAGTGGACAACTTTCTAAGTTTGTTCAAATATTATTTTCTACATGTGCTCAAAACTCATTGGAGATGTTGGATATTAGTTATAACCAACTTGCTGGGTCATTACCTGATCTTACAAACCTTTCATCTTTGGAGATGTTGTATATTCATTACAATCAATTAAGCGGAGGAATACATGAAAGTTTAGGGCTAATGTCGAAGCTCCAAACTATTGATTTTAGCATGAATTCTTTGGAAGGAGTGATTTCAGAAACTCATTTCTCAAAACTCTCCAAATTACAGCATTTGTATTTATCTTCTAACTCGCTAGTTTTAGACATCCATGCTGATTGGATTCCTCCCTTCCAACTGCACTCCATATATTTGGGGTCTTGCAAGATGGGTCCGGATTTCCCAAAGTGGCTTCAAACTCAAAAAAATTTCTCATACCTTGATATTTCTAATGCTGGAATTTCCGACAACCTTCCAAGTTGGTTTTGGAGTTTATGTCGTAATGTGATATTTATGAATCTCACAAGCAACCAAATTAGAGGTACATTTGCAAATTTGACATTGGAATTTTCATATTTCCCTGAACTACATCTGAGTTCGAACAAGTTGGAAGGTCCAATCCCCTCAGTTCTATCAAACGCCTCATATCTGGATCTCTCTTATAATAAACTTTCAGGGTCAATTTCGTTCTTGTGTTCAAGTGCAGCTATTGGTTTAAGCTTTCTTGATCTCTCAAACAACAATGTTTCTGGACAAGTTCCAAATTGCTTGACACACTTGGAGAATCTAGTCATGCTTGATTTGAGTTATAATGCTTTGTCCGGTAAAATTCCTACATCAATAGGCTCTGTATTTCGGATTGAAACACTCAAATTAAGAAGCAATAGATTTGTGGGACAATTGCCTTCGTCGTTGAAGAATTGCACAAGTTTAGTAGTCGTTGATGTTGTGGATAATAAATTATCCGGACCGATACCTGAATGGTTAGGGGTTAGCTTAAAGAATTTGGTTATCCTAATGCTTTCGTCTAATCACTTCAAAGGAAGCTTGCCCTCACAAATATGCTATCTAACACACATTCAAAATTTGGATTTCTCCATGAACATCATCTCTGGAAGCATACCCAAATGCCTCACCAATTTAACTACTCTGGCTCAGAAAGGAGATCCAAGTATGAACATCACACATTCTTTAGGATTTCAAAATTATACGTATACGTATAGATATGAGGATGATGCAACATTTATATGGAAAGGAGGAGTGCAAACATACAAAAGTACTTTGGGGCTCGTGAAGAGAATTGATTTGTCAAGCAATAAATTAACAGGGGAGATACCAAGTGAAATCACTCATCTTGTTGGGTTGGTTTCTTTAAACCTATCAAGAAACCAATTAACAGGTCAAATAACTCCAGAGATTGGAAACTTGCAGTCACTAGATTCTCTTGATTTGTCAAGAAACCATATAGACGGAAGAATTCCAACAAGCCTTGCTCGGATAGATCGTCTTGGTGTCTTGGACTTGTCATATAACAACTTGTCTGGCAAAATTCCAGTCGGGACTCAGCTCCAAGGCTTTGATCCCTCTGTTTATGCTGGGAATCTTCAACTTTGTGGGCCACCACTTAAAAAGATGTGTGCTGATGAAGTGGAAAGAGGTCCAAGTGAGCAAACTGACTTCATCAACCAAGAGGACAAGGATGGACTAATAACACTAGGATTCTACATTAGTATGGGGCTTGGATTTGCTGTTGGATTTTGGGGAGTTTGTGGCACCTTGATATTTTCAAAGTCATGGAGATACGCATACTTGAAGTTCTTGAATGGTTTAAATGATTGGCTTTTTGTGAGGATAGCTTTGTTGAAGCGGCAATTGAAGGATGTTTAATTAAAAAGATCAACGGTGAGTAATCTCTCTTTCTCTCTCATAGTTTATTATTACTTTATTGACTTAATCAACATGCACGATTAATTTGGTTTTTCTAATTTGTTACTTTATTGGTTTTTCTAATTTGTTATATTCATGCTGCAACTCAGCGAGCTGGGAGGAGGATGTGCAATGAGGTTTGGGCTTCCTGCCCCCCATCCTCTCTGGTCTTTGTGTTACAAGCTGACGGCCTTCCTTGCCCCTAAGTGCTAGTGAGTCTGTGCTGGATGCTGACGAGCTCCCCTTATGGAGGCATCATAGTTATTGGTCTCTAGTTTGATCTTTTTCTAGTTTTTGTGCTTCCTGTTGTCGTTTTTCCTTTCCAACTGCCTTTGGTTTCTTTCTATTTTATCCTCCTATTGTCTTTCTTTCGTTGAATGAAAGTACTTTGACCCCCAAAAAAAAAAGTGTTTTTGTTTTTTTTGTTTTTTGTTGCATTTAATCTTCAGTCAAATGGCTCTGTAATGGTAGTTGTATTATAGTAGCAGGAAATGGGTTTTTATAGCCGGAGAGCATGAGAAATGCATGCCAACAATTAATAATAAATATAATTTTGTGCTCTAGAATCACTTTTTATTTATTTATTAAAATTTATAACAAAAAAGGTATCTACGATGTAACCAGTTGGAAATTTATAGCCGGAGAGCATGAAAAACATGTCAGTTGGAAATTTGTTTCTCTTTTTAAGAGAGAGAATTTGGGTAACGTTTCGGGATTCAAATCTGGGCTATTAATACAGACCCAAACAATTGGATTTGGACTTAGGAGCCCAAATTCAAATTCACTCCTACCCAAACAAACGGCCCAAAAATTATTTCAATTCTCAAATTTTCTTCAGCAGAAAAATTAAAGACTTGCAACTAAACATAATCAAATAGAAATATTGTGCTCCCAACGACAAGTATCATATAAATCATACGCAACCGAAACATGTCAAATGCCTCTGAAGTTCTTTTTCTTTTTTGAATAAAATACAAATCGCAACCTCTCATTGATTTATGAAAATTTGAAATAGAATCCAACCTATGTAAATTTGTAATTATGTTCAATCTTAATCATTGTTTAAATGGTTACAAGAATTATTACTATGCCTTTATGCTTCAATAATATTATTTGGTTGACCAAAATAATACTAGGGCAATAATTGGAGGACTATTTATGTCGAAAATCCTTTGATTTTTTAAAAAGAAAATAAAAGGAATAGCGCTTTTATTATTATATATTTCATAAAACGACAAGTAGTTCACTACAGAATAAACTCTAAACAAGCATCTCTGTCAATGTCTTGGAATGATCTATGGTTCAAGGTAATCGATTGTATTTCAAGGGGATGATGTCATTATGAATCATTTGCTTTCTTTACTTCCACAGCATCCCTCATGTTGGATTTAGTCATGTCTTATGTTTAGTGGAGTGCTAGACTAAGGACTGGATTGGATTCGATTGATCTTAGTCATGTCCTATGTTTAGTGGAGTGCTAGACTAAGGGGGACTAGAGGCAAAATAGCGCTATTTAGCACTATCCTATGTTTGGTGCAATCTAGAACGGACTATATTTCTAAACTTTAAACATTAAACCCTTTTTTTTTATGTTCTTAAATGTGGATTATAAAAAATTACAAACTTATAATTACAAAAATTATAACTAAGAAATAATTCCAAAACTAATTTTACTATTATCAAAGTCTTCAACCAATATAAATTCAAAAGTCGTCAAGTACCAATAACATATAAACTGGATGCAATGAGATCCCTGCCTTCACTCTAATCCTTCAAAAGATGCACAACCAGAACTCTTCCAAAACAGAGATAGAATTTGCACATCGTCGTGCTTCCAGACACATAATGCTAATACAGCCAGAGCACAAAGTTCAAAATTTGGATTCCTCCATGGATTGGTAGATAGAGAGAGAACATGTCGACCTGTTGGAAACATTTTGTAGCCAGGGATAAGCCGAATTCCGAGCGGGGATTAATCCCACCCATTGATTGTGGGGACACATTGTCGTATTTACCCCAAAAAAAAAAGAAAAAAAAAAGAGAAAATCTATAGAAAAAATGCAGAAATTTTTTACTTATCATTAGAACCATTATAATAATCAATTAATGCATATATAATAACGGAAAACATTTTGCATGAATATATGAACCTTGCCTAGTTACATATAGTTTTATTATATTATTGCCTTTAAAAAAATTTAAAATATGAAGAAAAGAAAGAGTGTTAACACAATAACGGCAACGTGGAGGCTTCGGAATAAAGTAATTCGATGATAGAAAAGAATTATTCCAATGGAGGATTGGTTAGTTTCCAATTTTAGCTTGTATCCAAACAGTCGATATTCAAATGTAATGCCTGCCACTAACGTCCAATATTTGCTCCATCTCTACTCTATCCATCACCACGAACGAGAACAGAAAATTGGATAACTCATTAAAAAAATTTAAACAAACAAATAACAAATAAGTTCGGCCAAGAAAAAATAAAAAACTAACAGGGTACCCTTATCATTTATTCTTCTCTTCTTTTTTTCTTTTTTTTTTTTTTGGGCGACGGATAACTTTCAGTCAACCGAAATTAATACAACCAAGCTCATCCGAAAAAATAATAATAATAAATACAACCAAAGTTACAAAGTAGAGGTGAACCATCTTGTTACTTCTAATATTAGTGTATATAGCAGCAAACAAGATGCAATCTTGCTTTTATAACACGGATGGTGAGAAAAATTAAAACATTTGATGGTGCATTGAACACTTTGTCTTTCGTTAACTCAAAGTCAAAGAGGTTAATATCTGATGAACGAGTTCTGCGAAAAAAAATACATATATATATATATATTTGAGCTTCAGTTGAGGGATATTCTTGTAAGGCTTATTCCTTATTGTATTTTATTAATCCAAACTGTCTATTTGTATATATTCATTCCAATATCATCTCTACAAAAAAATCATTTGAATAAGATATCATTTGATCACTCAATTGAATTATTGAATTTTAATACTTTCTTGAAATATCACGTTCATTGATTTTGTATGACAAAATTGGATGTCAAAACGGTTTCCGATTTGTCTAATTTTTTGCAATGATGATCTATGAATGTAGATTTAAAAAAATAGATTGTTTGGATCATTGAAATTTTTTTTGTAGAATACCCTAAAAGGGGTCCCTCAAATAAAATTATTTAAGAGATCCCTTAATAGAAAGGGACTATATATATAATGCTTTTCGAGTTGATAGCACACCGGTAAATTGAGATCATCCAATGAATTTATCCAATATAAATGTTGGGTAGAGAGATTCTTTGCACTAAACTCAAATATTTAAATTGATTCAGATGCCTTGAATAACACAAGTAAATACATAGTCTGCCTTAATCATTTGCAGTCATATAATTCTTCAAAAACAAGGAACTATTTTTCTTTATATATACAATGATGATAAAGAAAAGGGAGCAATCTTCAGTCTTAACTTGTAAGTACCTAATAAGTGCCTTTTTTTATTATAAATAAGTGTAAGCATGCAGGTCCTCGAACCAGACAATGCCAGTTCTCTAACCTAAAACTTTAGTTTTATCACAAAACCAACAAATCTAGAACCAACCTTTAATTTTCTTTCTTATCAATCAACATGAGATATTGAAGTTTGAGATGATTATTTTTTTGTTTGATAATATTGTTCACCGTTGAGACTCACCATATAACATAATATAATAATTTGAACGGTCTATTTTACAAAGTATATAAATAAAAGAGAGAATTGACGAAAAATCAAATTTTACCAGAAACAAAAAAATCTTGTGATGTAACACCCCGACTCCAAATTTATTCCTATTTTAATTAAATTAAGAGAATTATTAATTTACTCTTGGGTTAAGGGTAATTTTGGTCATTTTCTTATCCAGAAGGATTTCGGGACCAAGAGTGGTTTGGTTGCGTAGGTGGTACTGAGACGAAACCGTAGACAGGCGGTAGACTTGAATCGGAGTTGTAACGAAGTTTTGGCGAGCAAATTAAGTTCGGTGGCGGAACCGTAATTAATTTGAAAAGAGTTTGGGGTAAAATCAGATTTTTCACTTTTACCCCCACACTTTCTCTCTCTCTCCCGCGTCTCCTCCCTCTGCGATTTCCCCCTTCCCCGTGTTTCACTGTTCACCGAATCGAGAAAACCCTCACCGCCGTCACGTCCGGCCACCTCAACCCTCGAGACCAGTCCCGTTCGACTCGTCGTGAAGTTCCGATCAAAACCCACCTGTTATCCCGACCGGAAAGCTCGAAATCCGGCCACGATATCGATTGGTTTTTCTCCCGGTTTTCACCACGACAGCGTAGCGATTTCGGCCAGTTTTTCCGTCGAGTTTGGTATGTTTTCGAACCCTCTCCGTATGCTCTAGCTGTTTTGGGGTAGGTTTGGATCGATTTTAAGTTTTGGAACCGAATTGGAAACCTAGGTTTTGGCCGGTTTTCAATTTGAAATTCCGGCCAGTTCCCGTACGAATTGGACCTCGTGGTAGTTGAATAAAGTGATCCTGACCTTGAGAAGAAGCTAGGGTAGGAAGGGTGAGCGTTGGTGTGGAGATTTTCCGTCGCCGGAAATTCCTCTACACACCCACGCGCTGCCGGCGCGTGTGGCGGCGCGTGGGCAAGGCTGTTGAAGTTGCTTTTTATCCTGATGAGATCAGTAGGTTGTCACGAGTGCATAGGATTTTACGAATCTCAATTTGGATGTCGTTTGACTATCGAACGGATTTCGCATATTGAGCGTTATTCGGGTTCGATAAGTTCTAACCGTCGGATCGTTTCCAAATTGAAGTATGTTGATTTAGGTACTCTTAGAATCCTATAAGAATTCGCGGATCGTGAATCGGAGCCCCGGATGTTCCGATTCACTAATTCGAAGTTTGTGGGATTAACGATAACCGTAGGATGGGAAGCGATTCCCAAACCTGTAACCGAACCTG